GGGAGACGTGGGCAGTTATCGTAGCTACCGAAACCGGATTATACTCCAAGAGCCATGTAAATCTGGTTGTTTTGCAGACTTCAACTTTGTTTTCACGTATCTTTTTTTGTTCCCTTGAAGATTTCCGCCAGATGAGTGCTCAGACTATATTTTCAGCCCTGGATTATTTGAACCGTTGGGCGAGAGCAAAGGCTTACAGATTGGCCGTAAAGACACAATTGGTGACCTCCAAACATCGAAACAGTTCGTCAATCTCAGGTACCTTTATAACTTAAGCATTCTTTTGTTAAATACAAATGTTTTCCAAAAGAAGGAGCAATTCTCAACAGAGAGTTATTTCACAAGTTTTGTTATAGATGGCTCTGTGATTGGTCCAGAAAATTGGCGCCTTCTTCTTAACCAATCAGACGCAGAACCAAAGCCAATCGTGTCTTATTTTTAAAGAATTTACGTTATAATTTCATCCAATTGGTCGATTTTATTACTTTTCGTTTCGTGTCACTCAGTGGAAAAGTGCTCTTTGATCCGAACAGATTTTCCTCATTTTATTGAAGAATAGAGACCTCGATGAACTTCATAGACAGTCACATCATGGAAAATAATAATTTCCGTGACTTCTTCGCGTTAATCTGACACTTTGAAATAAATTATATTTCCTTCAACGTACTTCATCATCATGTTTGGCGGTCAACTGCAGCGTTTTCTTGGCCTTCCTTTTACTCTTTGATTCCTGCGGGTGACTGGTGTCTAATTTTTCCTCCGACTTTATAACCCTCAAGTCAAATTTAAAGGTCAGAAGTATAAAGAAAATGTTCACCAATTTAAGAACCTCTTGTAAAACAAATTTTCCTTTTCAGGACCATTGAAAATGTAAAGAGAACAGTGTAAAGCATGTAAATGCTATCTTGGGGTGGACATGGGTAACAGTGCTTGGTTATATGATTATTAAGAGCGAATGTTACCAACAGTCAAACAGTTGGTGGCAACAGCCAAAAAATCGATTCGGCTCAAATTCTCAAGTTATGTAGGCCTAATGGTGAAACAAAGCACGGCATACTTCGTTTGGCTGAATATCGATTTATTTTCGAGAAAATCGATAATAACTGAATTTCGAACAAATGCCGCTTTTGAAGCTCAAAATTTCAGACAAATCCCGGAGCGTCGCGCCACGAATTGAAAACACTTGAACCGATAAAAATTACCAAATCTTGAAAAACAACATCAATACATATGATGACAGCAATTTGAGCAATTCTTGATTGTTTATTTACACAATCAAATTGAATTTAACCGACCGTCTTCTAACAAGATTAAAAATAGTTCAAAAGTAACTCGTTATTTAACTGTGCTATACAAAATAATCGACTGAAAAATCTGACTTGTGGAAGGTGAAGTGTGGTTTTTTTCGATCTCCAAAGGATTTTTTGGGGAAATGATTCAGTGCGATTTAATCAAATTTTAAAGTTGGATAAAATGAGCTCATTTGACGGTGCCGTCAGTTGTTCGAAAATGTTCACATTCACACACAAACTCAATTGTTTCGCATTTTACATTCAATCTACAGCTTATTTAACATAATATCATCTTACCGTCCATATTGCTGTATCACAAAAGGGGATTGCAGTCCTAAAATTGTTGCATTGCTCCCTCAATAGCAATAGAACTTGGCAGGATAGTCAACACTACGACTATTA